AGCTGAGCAAGGCAAAGGAAGCAGAAGATCCTTTTTTCACATTAGTTCACATTAGAAACTGGAAAGAGATGTAGACCATGGACTTCCAAGCAGGTGTGCATGTGTTTTCAGCAGGAAGGGGTCTGATCCCCTAAACAGAACAGAAATCTATCTAATACATGTCTGTGATTTCTTGCTCTACAATATTAAGCATAGACCAGTATCAGGACATTAAATGTGAATACAATCCTACTGCCAACAAACTGAAACAATAAATACAGCACATTTACACAAAAAATAACACTTCAAGTTATTTCTTAATAGGACACACCTTCAATAGCAGAAATATATTTCTATACAATTAGTACACCTAAGCTTTGAGATAACAATCATATTGTAGCTATTTTTGGGTCAGTATAACGAAAAGCCTATTGGCATCTTTGTAAATTTAACTCTATTAGAAATATAATTCCTAAATGTATAAATGTAGATCACAAACCACTAATATATGTTTTCCTGAAGGTAATTTTCTCATGTAATTTCCCTGTGGTTGTTTGATGTATTTTAATTTAATGACTCTGGGATTCCAGATTTATTATCATGTGCTCAAAAGCTAAATAGCACAGCTGAAAATATTTTATTCCAACAAATTGTCCATGGCAGTAATTACAGCACTTTATTTCAGCTTGAACTGCAAGTGTTGCAGAATGATACCTCTCCAAAAAGCTCATCTAATAACTGTGAAAGAAAAGCTTCTTCTTTCATAATAAAGTTTAACTCTGCATCTGCACATTACACTGCATTGCACCAACTTTGGATTTTGAAATCACTTCATCAGAAGTGAAGTTTCACGTTGTGAGGGGTCTTTTGAAGACAGTTCCAGTGTAAACCATCCAGCTGTCTGTACAGCAAGGTCAGCACTCACTGCTTCAGCAGCGCAGACAGCTCCTAAGGTGAGCTCCCACTAGTGTTTAAATTAGGAAAATGCTCGGAAATTCAGATATCAGGACTAAAAAGGACTGTTCAGAAATACTGGCAATTGTTAACAGTTATTGTTAGTAGATTAAATAAGCTATTCTTGAGTATCAAGTTAATCATGTCCCAACTTCTCCCCTTCAGAATTCTTCCAAGCCTGAATGCTCCTGTAGTTCAGAAAGTCCCATTCCCAGCTTTTCCTGCCTTAGCTTACAGCTTTGATTTCTCATTCTGTCACCTTCTGAGACTGCCAATAACTCCCTTCTTTCATTTACATTATGAGTTCCTCGAAGTTATTTATAGACTGATATAATTTTCTCTGAGTTTTTCTCTTTTAGACTACTTTGCATAGTCCTGTCACTCCCTCACCTCAGTTTCTGTTGCTTGCACATTATCATTTTTCTCTCCTCTCTGTTTCACTTTCTCTAAAGCCTCCCTTAGCTTTGGGGACCAGAATGCAGACAGACAGGCAGGGTCTTCACCCACTGATCAATCCCAGGTAATGGTTTGTAATTCAGGAATGAGGATCTTCAGAGGCTCCAGGGAAACACTTTTTGGTGTTGGCAGACTGCCTCCATGAATACAAGGCACTAAGATCCCTTCCTTGACACATTTTGCAAGATTTGTGCAGAAAGAGCAAGACTTTCACACCAGCCTCTGATTTTAAGATGCTGAGCCTCTGTGTAGCCCCTTTTAGAAACCAAAAACATCTTCCCATCTCTATTTTTATGCCTATTTTCTACACATACCTCTTTTCTCAATGTTTCATATTTTCACTAATGTAAGATTATGCTTGATGCAATGTAAACTTTATTTATCACTTAAAATGTATTGTGTACCACACATGTATCTACCAGCTATACCTGAAATAGTTCTGTGCAATGTCAGGTTTTGGTCAGTGCAATGTTTACTTGTTATTTCACAAATTTATTAGCTATATTCCACAAAGATTAGGAGATCTATTCCCAAAACTCCCTTTGGGTGCTGTCTTCAAAATACAGACCCATGACCATCTTAAAACGCAGGGAAGCTTTTATCAGGAATTTTCATTCATTTGTTGCAGTCACCTAATTTGATGCTCAATGTGTCTCTCAGTATGAGATCTTTGTGAACTCTAACAAACCTGGTGGGTTTTCTTTTTTACCCAAATGAGACATAAAACTGCAGCATGTGGCTGGAAAAGGCTCTTTATCTAAAACTAGTGAAGCATCCTGTAAGTTCAGAAGTAATGAGAGCATGAAAATCTGTAGCTCCACCTTGTATTTCAAAAGGTTTTGCTCTGGTTGATATGTCCAAGACCCTCTCCCCCAGCTGCAAAGTGAAACAGATGTAGCTGGTGAAGATCATTCCAGACAGTTACAAAACCAGCCCTCACCGTGTGCACCATGTTCCAAGTGAAAGAGAATAGGAGCCATCCTGAAAATCAAAGCATATAGATAATAAAAATGTCATTATGGGATGCACAAGAGCTCCAGAACACGTGTAAACATGGTGATGATAATGGTGATGCTCATCAGCAGCTCTCCAGAGACTCTAGTTTCAGATAAATTAATGTTCTAAATGTTCTTCCTTGAACCCAGAGACCTGCAAAGGCCTGTGAAACTTGGAAAAATACAGATGTGAAGGGAACCAACCAAACCTTCCTTGAGAGGAGGGAAGAAGAGAAATTAATGTTATGGGAAACATCATTTGTCAAGAGCTTCTTACCCAGGGGAAGACTCGTGTGGGGACATCCTGAGCTGGGAAATGTGACTAAAAATACGCCAAAGCTGCTTTCCTGAGGGATACAGATTGATGTGTCTGAAAGTTCCCTGGTGGGAAGAAGAGGTAGAAACACAAACATAAAATGAATAATGTAGAAGTACAGGGGAAATAAGCGCCTGGTCCTTCAGCAGCTATTCAGGTTTATTCTCATGACCAAGAACACCCTGCACAGTGGAGGTGGGACAAGCTCTAAAAGACTGTCAGCCAAGAGAAAAGTTCCACCAAGGAATCCAATTCACTATCATTGTGCCTGTCATTCATTAATCACACTCTGTATGAGGGCACATCAATTTTCTCTTTCGATGCCACAAAGCCAAAAATCTTCTGCTATCAGCAGTCTTGTGCTGTGGGTGATAAATATTTTTTACAAATCACTTGTTGGGTTAGATTCTTTTCATTTTTATTACAGGTCTAGAAATAAAATTTGCCACAGCTGCTTTCACCTGCATGGACAAATGCTCCCTACTCTCTTCCAAAATCCCACTTACAGTTTTAGCACTTAATTTTTTTCAACTTCTGTCATAAAAGTTTGTTTAAATCTCCTATTTCAAGAGTCTCTTCAGGCATTTTAAATCTTGATATTTCTTCATTGTCAACTGATTTCAAAGTCTGCAGAAGAAGGTTTATAATCATTTGTCACCTGTGACTGAAAATGACAAATAAAAAATGTCCATATCCACATATTTTGCATAATTTCACTGTCACTTCAAAATACAGTATTTCTCTCATTACTCTCTTACTCTCAATCTTGCTGTCCAGGTCACCTCATTATCTAAGTGAAGTCTTTGCCTGTGTCAATTACTTCCTTCAAGTCATGGACAGTGAATTCAAATAGAATTTTGCATCTTGGCAGCTCAACCCGAATGCACACAAAGGTTACATAGTAAAAGATCCTCATTTATAGCTATTATTCTTGATGGCACTCTTTTCATTGAAAAACATTTAATTAAATGTTTATACATAAAAAGAGGAAAATTCTTAATATAACAAGGAGGATGAAATATTGAAAATGAAATTAAAAAATCCTCCTTCAGAGTCTTATTCCTTACTTATTCATCACAGTGAGTAGGTTTGATAATGTTGGTGCTTTGACAAAGCCCAGGTCACAAAATAGCATAATTTTTAAATTTCTAAAACATTTAGAAGACTTCTAAAACAGGAAAGTGAGAGATTCATTCTCTTTTGAGGACCTCAGACTGAGTTTACATATCTCAGTTTTCTATAATAATCAATTATCAGCCTCAACACAGGAAGAGGAAGAAACTCTGTCCTGAGCATCTGTGGCAAAGCATTATCTTTAGAACCATCTGGCTACAACCTTCAAATCAATTCAAAGCTGACCTTGAAAATTTGAATCCATAATAAGAGCCCTCATTCCTCTACCACTGTGATCCCAAACAGAGTAGAAATTGTGTGAGCTGCTTTATATACAGGTGAACAAAGAGAGTGCTCCAGTTCTCTTTTGTCACTGAATCCAATGAGATCCATTTGCTCTTAGGTTCAGATTCTGCATTTAAATTAAGCACTGCATGCTGAAATGTGCATGTCCTGCTCGATTCATGGGAACATCTTTCACTTGAACACATGCTCAGCATAAACTTGTCTCTAGCTCCTGCACAAGCTGGAAGTTTCTCCTAGAGCAAAATACTGTTCAGTCATGGAAAACTGAGTTTTCAGACAAGAATAATTATGGCATTGAATAAAAAAATAAACTTAAATAATATGAAAATAAATATCTTTAAGTCATATGAAATGTTTGTCATTATTCTGGAATTTCATATTTAGAGTTTATTAAACTTCTGAATTCTTTGGGTAGCACATGTATTTAGTACATTCACTATAGTGGCATCCAAATATCTTACACTCTTTAAAAATACAAAATTCAGCCCTCTCACAAGTGTGTATCCACTTCGGGGGTGACCCAGCAGCAATTCTGAGGAAAGTCCATAATTTTAACAAATAAAGAGAAAAACCTCCCCAATTTAAATTAGAGGAAGGGCTCATGCACAAACTGTGAGTTGGTCTACCCCTAAATCTGGCTGGAGTATTGAGCAATTCCTACAATTGTACCAACAGTGCTGCTCCAGCTAATCTCATTTATAGGGCCACTGTATGTCTTATTTGCATCGCACTTCAGTTATGATAAACACCTATAGATACAAACAAAAGCTTGCCTGCATGAAGAAAATAATAAAAGCTGCAGGATAATGCAGGCAAGGTTGTTGATATCTTCATAACCAAGCCTGCAGTTATTGTAAAAGATGCCTTCTGCTCTGGTTCAATTTGTGGACTCAATTTGCAACCATAGTTAAGGAATGAGTTGGTCTTATGCTGAAAGGTCTGTAGAAATGAAAGAACTCAACTTCTGGGGAAAAATTAACAAAAAACCATGGATAGGTAATATGGCAACTCTTTGTACCTCTGCAAGTTCTCTTCATTTGTATTCAAACTTCTTTGGCTAAAGCATTGCAGAGGAGGAAGCAATACTTTGGGAAAATTCGGCAGAATTCTACTTCTGCTACGTGGTCTGAATATCATTTGATAAAATGGCAACTGCAGAATGGGAGTGCTGGGATATGCCAACAAACATCAGATTAAACCTTTATGATATTATTGTATAAAGCAATATTAACATCACCATGAATCTTCTACAAAAGGAGTTCAGTTCAGTGTGGCAGGAAATACATGTTAAACACAATTCTGAAATAACAGTAGAATAAATTAATGTTAAACAGGAAAGTAAGTGCAACTCTTTCACAAATGTTTTCTTTCCTTAAGGGAACAACTCAGAAGAAACTTTGCCCTTGTAACTTTGTTTTTCTTAACAGTCAGCATAAGTCTGTGTGGGAGACTCTTTGATTTGCAATTAATTTATTTTTAATAGAATCATATCATTCTTGATGAAATTACATAGAAACATCAAAATCATTATTTTAAATCTGCTTTTACTGAAATGCTAATTTTTGATCTGCAGTGATACCTTCACCTTAAGATAAATCCAAAGAAGAAAAAGGAGACAATAGGAATAATTATGTCTCCTATCCAACACAATTGCTTCAGCTGCCTTACTCTGCAGATCATCTCAAGACACATTGCTTTTCTTTTGAATGCATTAGGAACTTATAGAACTTCATTCTCTCAAGTAGTTATTAATCCTCATCCTTCCAGGACTTAGTGTTTAAAAATTACTCTGCAGCTGCACTTTGGAAAGACTCCTCTGTTACCAGTGCTGTGATCCTTCTCACAAACACACCAGTTTTGAATCTGGTTTCATGGTTTGGATTGAAGAACATTTTGCCATTTTATATCTCATTAATTGATCTGATGAAGAATTGGGATGAGTAAAATGCACAGTGAAAAATCTTTCTGCTTATTGCCATCATATTTCATTGTTATTTTGGCCAGAGAATGATAAAAATGTGTGAAATATTGGTTTGCTCAGTTTGTCTTGGGCTGACTTCATTTCAGTTCTGCTGTTTTATTACAAATTTATTCATAACTCCTAAATGAATCTACAATTTGAGCAGAAGACCTTTCCCCTCTTATTCACAATTAAGTAAGTATTTGTTATTCTGCATCTTGTAATGTGATCCTGTGTATGAATGTGGCACCTCTGATTTTGCCATGACTTAAGTCAAAATACTTCTGAATATTGAAGGACTGAAGTCAAAGTGGGTTTAACACAGCTTGTAGCCTCATGATTTGGGAAGATGCTCACCAGAGAAATCCAGTCAGCTAATGTTTCCCCACTGTGTAATTCAGAGTCCTGAGAAGTGAAGCTCTGACTTCTGATTTTTCCTCTAAGGAATCCTTTCTCTCATACTCCAAGTCTCCAGTGACTGCAGTAGGAATTTAGGGAAATTATCTTTAGTAAACTAAAACTGGCCTTTATGCATACTTTCCTTCCCCTGAGGGAAAATATCGCTCCAATTATCATTTCAGTTAGTGCTAAGAAGAACAAATCAGGGCATTTTAAAGCATCTCAAGTGAAGGAAAATTTTGAATAAAAACTAATTTTCTCTGTTTCTTCTTCCTCTGAATACTTAGAATATTTACCCAACTCTAGTGCTTTCCTTTGGTCAGGATGGAAAGAACTGTACATTGTACATAGGTATAGGGAGTAAAATAAACCTGTCACTGTGTTTTAATTCATTTACAGAAAGAGGAATTTGAGCCAGTAGGGTTGTTTGCCAGCAGGTTCTCATTTGCTGCAGGTGAGATGAGCCCTCATGCTTCCAGCTGGGTTTCGTTCATGGCTGTGGAGTCCCTGTGTGCAGAAATCGTGTATGTCCTGTGGGCAGAGAGGGTACAATGGTCACTGTGCTCACACCAAGATGAAATTAGGTTCCTGCTTCTGGGAAGTGATTCTCTAGATCATTTTGTTCACTGCACAAGCCTAGAGAAGCGAGCCTGCATTCAGCTTGCAGGACTGGGTGAGACCTCCTTCAGATTTTAAACACAAATCCAGCCACCAAAAATCCACTGAAGGCTACTTTGAATCTGTGTCCCATTTGACTAAAACTGCAGAAGGGATTTTTGCAAACTATAAATTCAACACCTCAGATATTTACAACAGATATAAACCCTGTATGTTCTGCAGATGAAATAAATCTCAGTGCAAGATTATGGAAATATCAAAGAAGCTGTGGAAGATCAAGATTGACTCACTGAGCAACACACCAAAAATGCTGGAATTGGTAGGGGAATAATATGAATGATAAAATGGTTGTTCATACTTCTATCAAGGCACATATATTTTAGGCCTTTGGAGCAAATTACTGGAATTCTATTTTTTGACAGTTACTTGTGTGTGGTATGGTGTTTGTGACAGTCTACACTGCCAGATTAACATCCATCATTATCCCGTTGTTCAACCACAAAAGTAAGGCACTTGTCTGGCATAATACAGAACTATACTTTTCCTCCAAGTGCATAATTAGTGTTTTCAGGAATTCCACAGGTGTGCAGCACAAATTTTGCCTGAGGGTTGTAAGTAAAAAAATAAGGAGACTTCCTTAAGAGACAATTGCACTTTGATTTGTCTGGTTTGAGGGGGGTTTTCTTGGTATGAATGGTACCTGCAGGGTGGTTGAGGAACTACTGTCTCTCCCTGTTGATTCTGTGGCTGAAATGCATAGTATTAACAGGTTGTTATGGAAGGAATTAACACAATTCTCTTCTATTTGCTTCACTGACAATAGAGGTCATCAACACCTTCTGGAGGAAACTCATATGATGATGTGAAAGAAAAGAATTAGGAAGACAGGATTGATCCAAAATCCATTAAAACCAATAGGACTTTTTTCCCAAACACAATCACTGGAGTTGCAGCTGGATCTAAAAGTAAGGACTGTCTTCTTTCTTCTCCTTACACACCTACAGTCACTTTACAAATTCTCATGGCACGAAAAATCCCAAATCAAAATTGTCATAGTCAAACCTAAGAAATAAGATGCAATGTGCTCTGATTCTTGGTCTTAGTTTGGTACTTTTTGGAACATAATGTTCTTAAAGATATCCTACTTCCCAAAGAAGAATTTACCTTGATTTCTTCAAAGAGCTCTTGGCCTTCAGCCCTCCCGGCCGGCAGCAGGCAAGCCTGCACTCAATGACCTGATAGATGATGGGGTTGTACATGGCTGCTGACTTTGCAAGCAGTGTTGGGACCACTGAGAACTGGATGGGGACCGAGTCCGGCCGTCCGAAGGCTGACCAGACCGAGACCACGGCGTAAGGGATCCAGGCAAGGAGGAACCCTGCGCAGATCAACATTGCCACCTTGTGAGAGCAGAAAAGAGACAGCGGGGTTTGTCCAGAGCAGTCAGACACTGGCAGAGCAGCACAGAGTTAGGCAGAGTGCAAGGGAATTACATTCCACTGAATGGAAAAGAAAAATGGTAACTCGCCTTTTCATATAAATTTACAATATTAACAAAATCTACCTCTTTGTCTCATGCCTGTGTTTCTTTTGCCTGACACAGAGCAGTTAATGAGTCTGCTATCAGACCTTTAAAAATACAGTAAAGTCTGGCTAAATATGAGGAACTAAATGAGATTTCAGAAAATAATAATAGCTTGATATTCAATTCAAATTATTTAAGGAGGGGATTCCTTTCGAAACACAGAATCTCCTTTTCAGGATAATAAACTCATACTAGCAAAGCACAAAGGTTCTTGAAAAAAGTTCTTTTGAAAATTGGGAATTTAACTGAGAGTGAGAATGCTAGTAAAATATCTAGATTTGTTTCCCAAATAATGGATTTGCACTTCATTAGAACATATAAATACCTTAAAAAGCAAATTTATGCTAAATATTTTAGTTCTGATAAATGAGTTCCTGGTAAATTAGTAAATGACCTCCTTATAATATGACAAAATGTAACCATAAGGAAGTTTAGTATAAATACCAAAGAAAAACTGCTTGAGGCCAAAATCTATGATTTATATACGTTACCTGAACCAGCCTGTCTGCACTCGGTCACAGCCTGATATCACTTCAAATGATGCCATGCCATCATACATCCTGAAAAACATCTGCCTTTATACTCCTGCCATTGACAGATTATTGCTGCACCCACACTGGTAGCAGCACAAGTGCACTCATTTGGAATAAGGCAATTAGCAGGATTAGAATACCAAAAAAAAAAAAAAATTCACCAGAAAGCACAAGGGGTTTGGACATTGCATAACCTTTCCTGTAGCCTGTTCTTTTTATCTGTCACTGAAGGAACAGTGCATGTAAGACAAGGATCTCAAACACAGCCTGTTTGCTATGAATTGTGCTGTGGATTCGAATAGGTTATAAGGGAGACTAATTTTCCATATTTATATTTACCCCAACATTATGTTCTCCAGCATAGATCCAAGACAGGAAGGAAAATTACTTTTGTTGCAACTCAGATAGCATTGAATTTTTACATGATCCTTCCAATATGCAAAAAAAAAAACCCAAATCTGCAACCTCAAATCAAAAGTTTCCATTGCTCTTCAAAGGAAATTTCCTGAATAACCACCAAAAAAAAGGTAACAACTTGAAACATCTTTTGAAAGACAAGTGAAGTTGTACCAGCTGTACTGGCAGCACTGGCTGTGTGGGTACGTAGCTGAGATTTTTCAGATATGTTTAGACTTAATGCCCCTTATTGCTGCATGTTATATAACTCTCAGTTCAACTCAGAAAAATTGTAATAAAATTTGATCAGCCAAGCAAAATTTGCTGCTTGTCTCACTCTTGGCATGTCTTACAGAGGTTGGTAAATCTTTTACAGCTAAGGAATCTGATTTTGTTCAATACAAGCCTTTATTTTGAGAGATTTCCTGGCACAATAGCCAGTATCAAGGATCATGGCTGTCACCACTGCCAAACAGAAAATAGATTCAATCAGAAAGGGAAAACAGGATATGGTCTGAGATGGAAAATTAATTTTAGCAATTCAGTGCTTTTTTATCAGCAGTTCATGGCTGAGCCTAACTGATAAATTATTTGCGTAAAAAACAATTGCAGTGTCACAGGACTAATTTTTGTTTATATCTTAATTAACCGAGGAATATAAACTGTCTGAAAGTTTTATTTCCCTGCTACAATAATCTGCTCTCTATCTGCTTTCTGTTATAATTCCTATGCAGATCAAACACCTTAAATTACCATTTACAACTGTTTGAAAGCAAAGGGTGTTTTATGGTGGGGAGCAGGGCCACAGGGACTTGTCATAGGGGAAAGCTGTGGCAGAGCTTCAGAGTGAATCATGATCTCAGGGACACAAGTGCCCTAATCACTGAATTATGTTTCCAGTCCTATTTTTTTCTCATCTTGACAGTAACAGAGGAGAAAGCTACAAAAACCACCTTCAGAGAATCGTGCTATTGTCTCCAAATCTGCTTCTATGACCCAACCCAGCAAACTGAGGAAAACGTTCCTACCTACCTTGGTCAGCTTCATTTCAAGTATGTGGCTGTTCTGAATCCTGGTATCGTAGTGAGCAACTTCTTTGGTTGATGATTTGACTTTTAAAATTATTTTGACGTAGGAAAACACAATCACCGCAGTTGGGAGCAGGAGGCAGAAGAAAAGGATGCTCAGAACAAAAACCTGTCCAGCCACTGACGCCTGTGCCAGCCACCAGTCCAGAGTGCAGGAGGTCCCAAAGGGCTCGGGGGCGTAGCTCCCCACCCCAGCAAAAGGCACTGTAGCCCAGAACATGGCATAGGCCCAGATTATTGCCAGGCAGATAAATGCATGATGTCTCTTAAGCCAGGTACCTGGAGGAAAATTCAAGAGTTACAAGTTCATGTCCAGATGTGTCGTGTCACGTGGAAGGGCTCACGGCCAGCCTGGATGTGGCTCTGAGCAATCTGGTCTAGTGGAAGCTGTCCCTGTGGGGCCTTTGGAACTGGATGGTCTTTGAAGTCCCTTCAAACCCAAACCATTCTGTGGTTCTGTGAAATATGAGGATTTTTGACTGTTTGACAGCAACTCTGTCGTGTTCATCTTGGCTCTCTCCAGGTGTCCACAGTGACCCTGGGCTCACGTTGTGCCTCATGATGACAAAGGCACACTCACATGGAAGGCTCCACCTGTCCTTATTTCAGACCTTTGCTTTAATTTGTGAGGACTGAGAAGACTTACAACTGAGAAGAGTCCAAACTAAAGAAGTCCAAACAACCAGCTCAGCAACAGTCATGGGAATCTTGTCCAGTAATTTCAATTCTTTAATGTAACTTAGTTTTTTTCCTATCCTTTCTTTCCTAAGTTAGCTGACTAAAGCCCAAACGCAGCAACTGGAAAACAAGGCTTTACAGTGGAAATAAGATATCTAAGATTGAATTTTACTTTTTCACTTTTCCAATACAGAAAATCACCATGTGCATTCTCTCAGAAGTATCTGTAATGTGTGTTTTCATGTATCCTTGTCTTTTTTTTTTTTTTAATTAAATGCAAATAGAACTCCTGGAGATCAGAACATTGTCCCTCTGCTCATCTTGCATACAGCTCTAATTCATCCATAAAAAGTTTCAGTTTTCAGGGTTTTTATCATCATCTACATATCCAATATGTAGCACTCAGATAGGACTAACAAATTTAAATATTTCATTTTTGCAGAAACTTGCAATATGGTGCAATAACATCTCCTTCCATCTTAGAACCCCCAACTCGTTTGTATTCTCTGAATCACAGGGGATTTTTCACTCACTTTACACTAACATTAAGAAGATTTCTTCAGGTTTTTGGAGTGATTTAAAATAAAACCAAAGCAAAGAAACACCTGTAATTGGAATGTGTCCATTTCCAGCTTATTTTACATGTTGAGATCACTGGAAGGAAAATAAGCATTGCCTGACAAATTATGTATCCATGTATGATGGCTGAGAGACAGAAAGGTGCTTTGTTGTGTTCAGGGGTAGAAAAGCAAAGCAACAATAGCATAACTATTAAAAGAGAAACATTTTTTAACCACCTAGACTGAGCATGATAAACATGTTTGTTTATTGCTCTCCATCATTCTGTATGGGCCACCATGATCAGAGCCCTTGAGAACAAAGGTTTTGAAGAGTTTTCTCTCTCATGAACTAAGATGTTATGTTAAACACCACCACTGGTGGCATGAATGCAGCCAGCCATGAAATATTCACTTCAGCTCACTAAGTCTGTGAAAATTGTCAAATTGGGTTGCTGCTGAATTATTTTGATAAGACTTCAATAGAAAGAGCTGAAATCCTGCTCAATATTATTGGTGCATCTAAAACTCAGCTAAGGAGACGTCCCCTGTACTCCCATTTAGGGTAAAAGTATGGACACACCAGGGTCTGTGATAGCACCTCTTAGCACAGTACCACAGCTTTTCTCTGCTTGCACAGCCTGGCTTACACCTCCTTGCTGCAAACCTTCCTTACAGCCTGACATGACTGATATTTCATGTCATCATAAAGAAATCTGTTGTGTCTCTCAAGTGACATAGGCAAGGTGTTTATTATTTGTAAAGTCACCTTGAGCATTCCCTGTATTGGATGGGAATTTAGTCCCTTACAATGCAAGAAGAACATATTTTCTAAACTGTGACAATATCATTTATCTGGAAAGAATTAAGCATATAATACATCATATTCCAGAGGCACAAGATATTGATGGATATGGTAGTAACATCTTACAGTGCTAAATTCATTTCATCCTCTCAGTTTCCATTTCCATATTTGAGAGACTGTTTCACATTATGACTTATTGCCCTTCCAAATCTCTTAGGTGTTTGAAATAGCTTGCTACACACCACAGAGGACTTTGGGCATCTAATATGGAATATTTTTATGTTTTGGTCCATAAGACCCTGCAATATGTGCATTACTTGCATCTGTTAATATTAATAGGCCTTGATAGACATAAAGTGATTTATCTATGAAGGGTTATAAAAATGCATGGCGTTGCCCACCTATGAGGCGTGTTATGTTCAGCAAAATGAATTTAACTGGGATTTCTTGGATCATGCAAACATGTTTCTCTCCTCTGTATACTCCCCTCTATATTTAAGAAAATTATTCTGAAGAGTTTAATTATTATTTCAGTGTAGTAAACTATAGTATTAATACAGCTTTTCCACAGTCATAGATAATAAGTTATCTATATATAGATACATATTTGTCTTACCATAGGACAAGTGGCAGATTTTCAGGTACCTGTCCAGGCTGACAGCTGTCATGGTGATGAGGCTCCCACAGCCAAAGAAGAAACCAGCCCACCCATACCAGCAGCAGCCTATCCACCCAAACATCCAGCGGTGGGAAAAGAAGGAGATGATGCTGAAGGGTTTGCCTACAACTTCAAAAGGAGGAGAGAATGTCAGCCCACTGGTAAAACCCACCCTTGAGAAAAATCTCCTTTTATCAGAAAGGCAAACCCTCTCCCTTGCAAAACTAATACCTGCAAAAGTGGTCTGCAACATGGAGAAAGGGCTTCAGGCAGATTATGTGTTGACTTTAAGCTGGAGGGCAAATTCAGATGGGATATTAGGAAGAAAATCTTTACTGTGAGGGGGTGAGTCACTGTCATGGGTTGCCCAGAGAAGCTGTGGATGTTCCATCTCTGGATGTGTTCAAGGCCAGGTGGGATGAGGCTTGGAGCAACCTGGCACACTGGAAGGCATCACTGCCCATGGCAAGGGTTGGAACAAGGTGGTCTTTAAAGTCCCTTCCAACCCAAAGCTCTCTGTGATGCCATGGCTTGCGAGCACTCCATGCACAGGGCTGAGCTGTAGCTGGATCCCATGGCACCAGTGATGAGGTGGGATGAGCCAAGCCTGCAGAAGGGCTGGAAAGAGGTGCTTTAGTACAAACCACAAGAACCAGAGGTAAACCAATGCTCTGGAACCAGTCATGGCCAGGCTCTTCTCACTCTGAAACCCTCAGAGTATGTGTTAAGTCCACAGGCCAATACCTAAACAGGATGGGTGCTGGTAAGTCAGAGCTTGAAATAAGCACAGACCTACTTAGTCTACATCCCTGTAGCAAACTGGGCATCTTTGAGCACAAGTTTTTTGTGCCTTCAAAAAGGACTTTTTCAAACCTGTCAAGGCCAAGCAGTAGGATGCACAGTCAGGTAAAGTGTTAGGTGGGAAAGAAATACATGGACTTGAGCTGCAGAAGTGGTTTCAGGTCCTCTCCACACCACACATTTCTTTGGTGCCTCCTAGCAAGCCACTGCACACAGATATCAAAACATTCTAAGCTTCCCCAAAGAGATGGGAAATGAGTTTTTTTGAGGCTTTCTCTTAGAGGCACTTGAGTTCATTCCTCCATAGGTAAAAGTGAGTGCTGCATTATGGAGGAAGTGAGGTTTGGTCAAATGATATTCCATTCTCACCTTAAAGCAGGTTTACATTTTTCATATTCTTTTTAAGTATTGTGGCAAAGAGAAAGTTTGAAATTTTTAATTATCTAGTTGGAAATCTCTTCTTTCTCCTAATTATTACCTTCTTCTTGGTCCTAATTTAGGCAAAGAAAATAAATCAAGTTTAATGGAACAGAAAACTCAAAAATTTATAATCTAGGGACATCTGTTTTCCAAACACTTCAGTTTTACTTACAAGCCTGATCTTAAATTCTCCCAGGCCTGAACATTCCAACTGCAACATTCAAACAACATTAAATATTGAACTCCACATTCAGTGACTGTATTCCTTCCTGCACAGGAACAACCAGAGCACCTCAAGGGTTTGAAAACATGTCAGCTTCCCTGGGCTGGTTTCCCTGGCTGAACCAGTGTCTGTAGTGTCATAGAAGCTCAGGCAATTGGTTTATGAAGAGGGCAAAAATGATCTTGCAAACAGTATTTCCCACAAGGTAACCCATTCATAGAAACCAAGACAAAAAAACCTCTATTTTGTTGAAGTGATCTATAGGAAAATATTTTATCTAAAAACATTCCATTTCACTTTGAACTGATGTAAAACCATGCATTCTCTTTTCATTCTTAACAGAAAATTAAAGCATTTCTTCCAAAACTGAATCTTGCAGAAAATTACCATTATCTTCTATGCCAAAAGCATCAGGATTGAAAACACTTCAAAATCAGATGCATTTTTAAAAAAGATATTTTTGGATTATCCTAAACCTGTGAGGAAAGTTCTGCCTGGACCTGCAGGATGTGCTCAGGTCAATATTGATGTGATTTTCTCCGAGCAGAATAAATCCATTTTTGATTTTTCAAGCAAAAGCTGACCTCAGTGATTAAGGTTTCAAGAAAAACATTAAATATGGCAAGGTCTAGGTTATGTGCTAACAATCAAGTCAGCAATTTAAGGCATATAAGTGACTGACAGCTTTAAAGGCCTACACATCCTTTGCACAAAATCAAGTTTTTCTTCAGCAGCAGGACTGGGAGCAGCACTGAGCACGATGTCAGCGCAAAATCAGTCTGATGCAGCTTTGAACAAGGGGCTGGTGCCACCCTGTGGAAATCTACAGGAAGCAGAACTCTTCAAAACTCTTCAAAAAGTTTTTAAGAAAAGTGCGTAAACTATTAAGATTTTGTGAAAAAAAATTTCTATCTTCAGTTTGCCCAGCAGACAGAACCCATCACATTTCTCGAGTTAGCACCTTCCATTAATTAAAATTTTAAAAAAAAAGAGAATGGAGAAAACCAAGCATGGCTCTTGGAATCACTCTTTTTAATTCCAAAATTTCAACCCCAGATAGGTTGAGATCCCCATGGAAGAAAGCAAGGTGACCAGGTGGTGCTCTGGTAGTAATCCATAACAGAGATATTCCCAGCCCTCGCACTAAGAAGGGTCCCAAACAAGCTGTTGTTTGTGTGGTTGGGACACAGTTTTTATGTTAAAACTGTTAAAATTCATCCAATCATAGAATCACAGGATATTTGGGGTTGGAAGAGGTCTTAAAGACCGTTTCATTCCACCCCCTGCCATGGGGAGGGGCACCTTCCATTATCCCAGGTTGCTCCAAACCCCATCCAACCTGGCCTTGGACACTTGCAGGGATGGGGGAGACACAGCTTCTCTGGGCAAAATTCAGAATATAAAGCTGGGGAAATTCTCCTGAAACACTCCTTCCCATTGGAGAGACTAATATGAGCCTTTTAATACAAGTTCTTAAAACACAAAGAGAATGGGAATATCAAAGGGGAGGAAGAAACCAGTCTGGGGTTTTTCCTTAACTTCTAAGTGTTGAGAGATGGAAGCAGTGTGTCCATGACAGAAATGCCAAGGAAACCATTGGGATTTCTCTGTGTGGTAGCAGTGATATTTATACCAACATTTTTCTTCTACTGAATTAGTATTTCCTTCAGAAACCCATGTTTACTGAACAAAACCACTGGAATCTGCAGGGATGGGCGGGTCTTTGGTCTTGTGCTGTGAGAGCTCAAAAAAGCATCAGTCTGGGGAGGCTGGCAGCCATCATTTTATATTGTGCAGTGATATTTTTGGAGTTTAGATGAGGCCAAAAGCATCTGGCAATGGCAAGGGTAGGAAAAGAGTGCTGAGGGAAGAAGTCCCAGTGTATACAACATACAGGGGATAGATGACCCTGCAAGCATGGGGATATAATTCCATTTATATGGCACTGGGGAGATCCAATGGTCAGCTGGGTGCTGATACCCATTGGATTATCTGCCATACAAAATATCCTTTTCTAAAGGGCATCCAGCCCTTTCCTTGTGAGCAGCTGGATCAGTCTCATGTCAAGAGCTAAAACAACCATCTCTGCAGCTCTGGATAAACCTCTCCAAATCTCCCTCCTTCAATGCCAGGACATCCAGACTGCGGGGTTGAAATAAAAATCCTCCCAGTTGGCTCATACCCTACAGATTGAAACAAATGCTTATATTTTCTGATCCAGAGACAGAGGAGAGAAAACTAAAGCTTTGATGGGCTGATGGCCACTGGCATTTTCCAATTATTTGGCTAAACATGTGTTTTTGAGGTATTTGTATCCATTCTATTTCACCCTATGGCAAGTAAACATAATTTTCTGCACCTGTAATACTGAGCTATTTTGTGGTTATTGTGCCAGGGTGCACATGGAAGCTGCCTTTGGAGACCTGCCCAGTGCTGGGGTGAACAGGAGCGCTGCCTTTTTGATAAAATCAACTCTAATTTTTCCTCTGTACTGTTCATTTCTTCCCATCAAGTTGTTCAGGAATGTTATTTTCATCCTCCCCTATTATTTACATGCAAATAATAGAGCAGAAATATCTGCAGCAAAAGGAATTTGATGCTTTCATGACTTCCAGAGGAATGTCTCTTGCTGCTGCCAGGCAGAATGGTGAGATAGTAAAAACAAGAGAAAATAAAACCATGAAATTACCTGAAATGCCCAGATCACACACTGCTAAATTAACAGTCATTATCTCAGCAGGTCTCAGCTTCTTTTTTCGCTTTGAGGACATAAAAATAACATACCCATTTCCCAGAGTTGAAAGGATCCCTATAATAATGGAAAATAGAATAACATTCAAATTAGAATCATATTCAAAAACAGCAATACTCCATCTTCCCTGTGAAACTCCCTGATATTTTCAGCCTGAACCAGTGTTTCCTAAGGCTGGGCACTTTATGCTGAAACGTGATCCCCTCACTGTCATTGTGCAGCTCACAGAGACCTGGACTGCAGACACGTCCCTCCCACAGCAAATGCTGCTTTCCCCTCTGCAGCAAGGCTTTGCTTTCAGCAGCTGAGCCTGCCCAGACATGGACTGAATGCTCACAACAGAAACCCCAGAATCCCTCTTGCCTGACCAACACAGCTCTCACTCAAACATTTATACAGCCACAAGAATGAAATTCAGCTCTCTGTAATCACAGGAACCAGAATCTGACAAACTTCAACTTTATTAAATACTCTAATCGGGTGTTGAGGGATAAATTTCCAGTTTAAATTAATATAATGATATTAAATCTTAAATCCTACATTAAAATTTATTTATATCATAGGAAAGAAAAATAATAAAATGCATCTGGTTAATATGATTTTAACCTCTTCTCATATTGGCTGGCATATTTTTATCCATATCATGACCCAAGGACCCACAGGTACCAGCACTGCAAAGTGGTTCATCTGCCATGAAATTAATCACACCAGTCCAGAAAATTGTAGGATTTCCAGTTCCCTTAAAGAAAATGTGTCTTCTTTCATATTTGAAAGTGTTTAAGTTCAGAGTGAGTGTTTTGCTGTGGAAACACAGGACAGCACAAAACATCCCTCTCATGGAGCAAGAAGGTGACAATCCCAAAGGGACCATGGCCCACTGAGCCTCACACCAGATCAGGGGAGACACGTCAGAGAGAGGGAAATGCAGAAGAAAAGAGTGAAGAGCAAAGAGTGCCTGTGCTGCTGCTGCCTCACAAAAGGGACCTACAACAGCACTGAGGGAAATGTTGGAGAGAGGTTCAGCCCAGGAAAGGGGGAGGAAGGATGTTTTCTATAAGTATTCTAGGTATAAAGGGTGAGGAAGGGTGTTTTTCACAAGTATTTTAGGTTTAAAGGCTGAGGAAGGATGTTTTCCATAACTATTTTACATTTGATACCTTTTTTTCTCACTACCTAAATCAGTAATTAAACTTTAAGCTTTGGGGGTTGGAACCACATGATGAGAGTTAGAAGGAGATGATCTTTAAGGTCCATCCACCCAAAGCATTCTGTGATTCCACGATTCTGAATTTATTCCCCTCAAGGAGCCTGTCTGCCCACTGCAGTAACCAGGAGTGGATCTTCCTATCTTTATCCCCATCCTGTCTTCATCCTCACTTTTTCTCTGCCTGTTTCCTCTTCGTCCCACTCTGAGGTTTGTCTTGAGTGCTTGGCTACCTGCTGAGGCCAACTCCTCACACTACTCCAAAAAAAGTCATAGAAAACCCAACTTCCCTCTGCTGATGAGGCATCAAGGTGAGCTTTGTGCTGCCGTGCACACGGGCTGTGCTGGGGCAATCTCTGTTTGCAGAAACCCCAGCACCCCCAGCAGTGCTGTCCTCTCCCAGAGTTGTACCTTTGAACACCAGGCAATTTTCATCTGAGTCTTCTGGCAGGCCAGACCTCAGGAAATGTAGTTCGGTAATTAAATGGGTATTTAATTATTTAGCGATTAATTTGGTAATTCAGTAATAAATAATCCAGTATTTAAATGGGTATTTTGTTATCTACTCTGGTCCATCAATGGCACAATCTCCTTGCAAGAGTACCTTGTCCCCATGGAATCAAGAAACCCAACCTGGGAACATCCATGAGGCAGAGAGAGAAATGGTTCCCAGATGTTAAAACCAAATTATTTAAGAAATATGAGTGACTGAGGAACCAAAAGTTTATCAAATTCAGGAGAAAAATATTTTGGTTTTGAATTTTTCTGTATTAAAAGTGGCACATTGGAAACTTTTTTATTTTTATATTGACAGTATTGCTTTCTGTATCATTTTACAAAATAAACGGAAGAACAGAAGCAGGCTTATTACTTATCTTAGGTCTTCTCATCAAATTTTAGTTACTCTGGGTGAATTAAATTCTAAGAACAAGCTACTCTTATGGCTCTACAAATTTAATCTGAATTATAAGCAGATAGAGGTATTCATAGGAGTCATTTTCTTCCTCACAGCTGAGTAAATGAATCTCAATGCTGCAAGTATTTTTCATATATTTTAATCCTTTTCTCTCTTAATGCCATTTTCCTCTCCAGTGATATTTAGGATAACTAGAGTGCCGGCATCCAGTTTGAAATACCTTTTGAAAGCATTTGACATTTTTTTGAATCCTTTTCAACTGACTGGCAGTCTAGAGAGACATCTCTATCAGCCAAGGAGCTCTGAAGTTGCCAAGTTGCTCTGAAACCACTGCTCATTATTAATATCAATGTTTCAGAGAGCCCCAGCTCACTGACCTCCTAATCCTGTGGCTGGAAGGCATCCACTGATCATTTGTGGTGCCTTTTGTCTATGCCTGCATCTGAAAATTGCTAATCTGAATCTTTCTTTAACTCCTTGGTGATCAAAACTCCATCATCTCCTTAGGTGAGGCATCCAATGCTCCATTTCTCCTGCTATGAAATGACTTTCCCAGCAGTCAGCTGAAGCCCTTGCTGGAGCAGGCTCCCAGCTCTGGTAGGTTGGAAACAGGGGCAAAAGACTTTTCAGATAAAAAAAATAGGCTCTTTTCCAGGAGAACTGACCATAGCACCATGGCACTATTACTTATACACAAACAATGTGATAACTAAAAAAGTGACACCTGCAGAGACAGAGGCAGGCTGAGACACACAACCTGCAGTGAGGGGAAAGTGTTTACAAGCAGCCAACTGGAGAAATAAACTTCCACTTCTCCAACCTGAGAGCAGCACCAAACCATCAGAGAAAACCAAATTTTAAAAAAAAGATAGTTCAGGATTTTGTTTTCAATTAAGCTGTTTCATAACAGGCTGAGGAAGTGTGCACAACAGTTTGCAAATCAATAGTGACTTGCCAAGGGGTTTCAGAGGAGCTGACAGCCAACGGGTCCCTGCTCAGTATTTTGTCACCCTGCCTGGCTGTACAGTGAATCAATCAAGGCAGTGATGGAAAAGCTGGTGGGGGAAGTGACAAAGACAAAAGAATTGGATCTGATCATTTTTTCTAAACAATTAGAAAGCTACACATGGAAATTAACTACTCAGGACAAAGGATCATGTGCTTACATAGAATTTATCAGACTAGTCAAGACTCCTGATTTTCTTCAAAGACAAAAAACAATTCTTTTTCTAATTCATACCTGACCCTAAAACCTCTTATCAGGGTTTCCTGATAAGATCCAGCCTTGTTCATTCACTGTTCAGTTTCTTCTCCTTTTTGAAAGAAATTTTAAAGTCACTTGCACCTTACACAGCCCAAGTGCAAAAAGATGCACAAAAGCAGTCCTGGCTTCCCACCTCCTGCTTCCCTGTCCCTGCTGTCAGGATGTCCCCACAGGCCATCCTCAGGAGGTGCCACAATTTCTTGCAAAGGAGTAGGGAACGCAGTTCAGTGGAAAAATGTCACAGGTTTAATCTGAACCATAAGTCATAATAAAAAACCACAGACATGGAATCATAAAATCATTTAGGTTGGAAAAGACCTCCAAGATGATCCAAAGTCCAACTTTTGACTGAGCACCACCATGCCCACCAATCCATACCACAAAGAGCCACCTCCACTCATTTTCTGAACTTCCAGGGCTAAAGATTTCACCATACCCTGGGCAGCCCATTTCTGCTGAATGATAACTCCTTGTCATATGAATACTTTAAAGAGAAATCAGTCCCAGCTATCCTGGGTGTGCACTAACCAATAGATAATTGCATTTATTCTGCTTGCAAAGTCACTTTGAACCTTGTAAAGGACTTCAACACAAAAGGATGGGGAGGATGCTAGGCAGAAAATATTGCTCAATGTGATGTGCCACAGAGGACAGATGATGCCAAGAGCTGAGCAAGGGGCACATGAACACATCTGAGGATGTTCAGGCTGTAAAAATAGGCCATAAAACCCACAATGCATAGTGAGGAAACCCTGCTCTGCCCAGGGACAGATTAAACTGCAGAGTTGTTACCTATCAGTTATTAAAAACAATAAGTATTTCTTCACTTTTTGCTGAAACATCTACTGCTGGTCACTTTTGGCTACCTGCAGCAACATTATCTATTGATATTAACTGCTGACACCATATTTCTAACACATTATCTCTCCTCCCTCTCAGATTTTTTTTTCTAGTATGAAAAAATGTGTAATTATGCATCTAATGAAAAGCAGTTTCTTCCTCTTTTCTGAGAGCTGCAAGAATGCAGCAGCACAGTAATATTTCAAAGACCAATTATAAAATCATTACCAATTATTGTCAAATAAAAGCCAGCTATGATGTCAGCTTCTCTTGAGAGCTTTGATGCAAAGGGGTCTTCCTCTTGGAGATAGTGTGGGATGTATTCTTCCTGGGAAGAATTGTTGTATTCTGATGCCATCCCACTCATGTCCAGTGAAGTGTCTGAAAAACAAAAGAACAGAGAGTTTGCAGCAGATCACACCTGCTGTTAGAAATTGTGGAGATATTTTTGTTCATACACAGGATCCATCTTCCCATTTTCAATTCTGCTCTGACACTTCACAGGGCATTTCAGGATACCATTCAAACTTGCATAGAACATCTTACCATGATTTGGGTCATGACTTACTTTATCCAAGAACATCATTATTTACATGGGACTGCAACAGGAAAAAGGCCTTGAGCTACTGGGGAGTGTCCAGAGGAGGCCACAAGGATGGTGAAGGGTCTGGAGGAGAAAGCTTTGAGGAGCAGCTGAGGTGATGTGGTCTGTTCAGCCTGGAGAAGAGGAGACTGAGGGGAGAACTCACTGGGGTGTTTAACATCCTCATGAAGGGAAGAGGAGGGGCAGGGGCTGATCTGTTCCTTCTCATGACCAGAGGCAGGACTGGAGGAAAGCTGGAGCTGAGTCTGCTGCTTGTCTTTGTCTAGACACATGCTTCTCACAATGCCAAGAAACTGGGAATTATCTGCAAGACACTCCAGCAATTTCTTTGTATCCTGAGGGACACTATGTCTGTAGATGGCAGCTCTGCAAATTTTACAGGTGGGTGAAAAATTACATCCACAAATTCTCCTTAGACTTCCTTAGGTGTTGTGTTCCAATGCAAATAGCTTTGCCATGGTTGTAAATAATTGGCCATTGGAATTGTGAAACAGCAGAACAATTAAATATTAGAGTCCTCTAGGAAGGCTTGTTGGGTTTTCTTTCCTTTTTTTTGTTTTTTTTTTTTTTTTTTTTTTTTTTTTTTTTTTGGGGTTTTTTTTGTGTGTGGGGGAATGGGTTATTGAGGTCAAACCTATTAATATAAGTAAAGGGAACCCTAATAGGGGAAAATGGGAATCTGGCAAACACCCATAAAAATCTTCCCTCTAGGACAACTGAAGGGTTGTAAAGTGAGGAACTCCTGCATAAGAAAAAAACATTTCTGCAACACTTGAAACCACCTAGCCAGGAGCTCTTTAGGGCATTCAGACACCCCAATTCCTCTTGCTGGTGCTTGCTGGGACAGGAATGGCTCTCATGAACTTAGCACTTGACTCAGGGTTTCCATAACTTTTGCTGTGGGACCTGGGACACACTGTGAAACTCTAAATTTTTCCCCTCAAAAGTCCAGCTTGGAGAGAGTCTAAATGAGAAACAAAAATTATTTCTTTATTTTACCCATTTGCTCTCTCTTCTGCACCTTGAAGACAGGCACTCTTGTCAATAAAAGAGCTGTGTCATCAGGTCTGTTATTGTACATGTACACCTGAAGCACTCACAGCCCTCTCCCTGCTGTCTTTCTAGTTTGGGGAAAAATAAAAAGAAAAATTTTACTGAAGGGGATTGAACCATGAAGGCATACTGCTACCCTAGACATGGGAGAGAACAAAAAGTCACCAGGCATATGGCTCCACACATTATTAATTATTTAAAGTTCAGCAGCCTCGTTGTCTTTTGGGTTTTTTTTTTAATTAAAAAAAAAAAAGGCTGATTAATTTTAAAAATAAATATTTTTTTTTAAATATTTACTGTTCCAGAGAGCAGAGCAACCACTTAGGTTTGGATGCGGTACGCTGGTACAACAGCCTGGACAGTCTGAAAAGACCATCCTGTACAAAAGGATGGACTAAAGCATGGACCTGGGAAATAATCAGGATCATCCTGTCCATCCTGTCATAGCCACAGGTCTTGATCCAGGTTCCACCTGGCCTTTAAAAGGATCCTGCTGGTTTTCTGTGCCCCAGCTTTGCCCCACAGCTCCTCTGTGGCTGCAGCATTTGAACCATGTGGGTGCTGTGATGCAAATGGAAAAGCACATCTGGGACCCATCACACAAGGTGGGTTTGATGCAAATATCAGAGTATTTAAGGGCATGTTCCTCTTTTGAGCCACAGTAGAATCTCCCACTCAAGTCAGTATCAGGTGTCTCACAAGGACAATATTTTGCTATGTCCAAGCAGACAAACAAAGTAGCTTTAAATAGGAATTTTCAACTTCTGTGTATGCTAAACCCAGCCAGAAGTGCAGACACTGGGTTTTCTAATCTGCCTTAAAGCAAAGGAGCAGGTTTGCCAGACAAATCACAGCCTTGGGACAGGAGAGCCCCAGCCCACTGACCTTCTCTCTGCTCCACCTAGACATGGAAAATTTTGCTGCTTCACTTGATATAAGCTGTTTACCTGCTTGCAAATGCTGTGACAGAGTATCCCCTCTGGCTGCTGAAAAAAATACCACTTTATCTCAGCTTTAAGTAGAGAGAGCACATTATTTCTTTAAAATTTGCAACAAAAATAAAAGGAAATTAATGTCTAACTTCCAAGTAGGCATGTAAACTTTCCTTATAATTTTAAATCATGTCTGGTGAATTAAGAATAAGTTTCAGATATAAGAAAATAAAAAACAACTCTGCTTGATTTACACAAAAATTGTTAGTGCATGGGGTTAATATTTGATTATGGCTTTAGAAGATGTTCATCATCCTGATTAGATAGGTATTAATAGAAATTAATCTTTATTCCAGAATCAATCTCACTTTTAGAGTGCATAAGACTGAAAAGTGTGTAATTAACAGGGCAGAATAATTAGTTCTCTCATAATTCCAAGTCAAGAAAAGCCATAATCCTAATCAGCATCTAGTGTTAAATATTGGGTAAAAAAATGTGGAGAGGGATAATTTTCATACTAGTAAGTAAAGCCTAACAAATGTAGGGGATGTGCATTTTCACAAATGCATTACTTCAGGAACTAATATTGGAACTGCCAACTCTGCCAGTTTTATTTATACTTGTGTTTTATAAGGTATCACAGTATTAAATGCCTGATAAAGGTCATAAATCTTGTCATTCACAGCTCCTAAAAGTTAATGAGTCAGAAACAGAGACTACAAAATATTATTTTAATAGAAATAGAAGTGATCCACGCTTGTAATCCTCATTGCTTGAAAGTTCCTGGGAACTCCTAAAACATTTTGGGAAGCTACAAATGGGAAGTGTAGCAACCCAGGCAAAATCTGAGGTCCTTAATCTAAGTTGGTAAGAATCAAAACTAGTAAGAAATCTTAATTAGCAATTAATCTAAATTAATAAGAAAACAATCACTGTGCTTATGCTAGCCAGCCAAAAGTGGATGTATCCAATTTATGTATGACAGCCAAACTGGTATGAAGTGGGGAATGCATTTTTGTAAATTTACAGGCAAAGGAAGGAAATATTAATGCCAACCATTAAAAAAAATCTGAACAAACTAAAAGCATATTGTAGCTCAATGACAAAAGTAATTTATTATGGGAAACAGCAGTGTGCAGTGAGTGCCATAGGAATCCCAGAAACTGAACTGCTCTCAAATGCTGTCAAAATCCTCTGTGGCAGGGATGCTTTAATGTACTTGACAAGAGAGCACAAGAAGTCAAACATTGTTTCCAAACTGATGGCCCACAGACAAGTGTAGCAATTATTTGTAAAAGTAGATTAATGGCAGGGGATAAATGGCAAAGTGAAACAAAAGATGTCCATGGACCCAGAGTTACTTCATAGAAAGAGTCAGTAGGGCTCGTTTGAAAGATTAATACAGCTAAATTGATAACACTATCAATTGTGTTAATTAAGACAATAATTTTCTGCTCTCTCATGCTATGTTAAAAACAATAAAACTATTAATAATTTTATCTGAGTCAGTAAAAGACAAAAGCTAAAAGGATAAATTAATGTCAGCAAATATTATCTTTTTAAGAGGAAAAAAGGTAATTATCTCCTAATTTGTCCAATTACATCCACTTCTCAGTATGTCGACAGAAAAGTTAGTCTGCTCTCAGTGTCTGCTGGATCCCAGCTCACACTGTCAAGTGTTGTGTTTATCCTGAACTTCCCCTGGGTATTTTGAGGGGCTGTGGAAGAACAGGCAGAGCTCCCAGTGGTCATTGCCTTGTCCTGTCACACCATCCTGGCTGGGGCACTGCTGACAGAGCAGAGACTGTCAAAACTCACATCCATGACACATCCTTAGCCAAGCACTTCCCAATAGTCCAACCAGCCCCTCTATTTAGGGACAAAAATTACAAGGATCAGAAATCTTTCCTCAAAACAGCTACAGCTCACCAACCATCCTTTCTCTTTCTCTTTTCCTTTTTTTTTTTTTTTTTTTAACTCCTAGTGTAACGAAAGAGATTCTTTTGAGAAAAATGGGCTTTGTTTCACCTCACTTTAGGACTAAATCCTAAAGATTCAAGCTATGGGCTAGAAATCTGTCCTTTATCGTCAGTAGGCTTGTTCAACCACCAGGCTGCTGGTTCTTTTACAGTGGATTCACTCCTGCCTGTTGAAGAGGAATCATCACTTTGAATGCACTAAATTAAAAGATTAACAATTTTCTACATGTCAGGTGTGTATTGTGCTCCATCACATCACATCCCACTGCTGCATTTCTGTTAATAATGATACAAAACACTAAATCTGGTATGTCTCATGTGTCTCACACAAAAGAAAAAGAGAGAGCTTTTGAAACAACTTTTGGTCTGTTGATACCAGGAAAACACTTCATGCCTACCTGTGACAGAAGATTTGCCAAAAAAACCTAATGCAACATCGCACAGGGGCACTGGAAGGGCAGGGGTGAGAGAAAAGCTACACTCAGATCACAGAATCACAGAATGCTTTGGGTTGGAAGGGACCTTCAAAGACTTTTCCATTCCACCCCCCCTGCCATGAGCAGGGACACCTTCTCCTATCCCAGGTCACTCCAAGCCCCATTCAACCTGGCCTTGAACACTTCCAAGGATGGGGCAGCCACAGCTTCCCTGGCAACCAGCTCCTCTCTGCCCTCTGTGGTCCCCAGCTCAGGCTAAACAACACCCAGGTATTTTAAATAAAGCCCTGGTTAGGTGCTTCTATTTCCTTTCAGTTTCAAGACTATCCAGTAAGACTTATTACTGGGCATTGAAAAACATTGAATAATTTCTAAAAATAATAATTTAGTGTCCGCAGCTACTTTGACTTTCCTAGGCAGTGCAGACCCACAGCAAAACAGCTGCTGTTGAGGACCTTCATTTTACCAAAGCTGTACACTTTTCAAACCTAAAAAGAAAATAGAAAAACAAAAAGAAAAAAGAAAATTATAACCCT